CTATGTGTTCCTGTTTTCCTCCAGTAGAATGTAAGCTCCTTGAGGGCAAGGCCTATTTCTTTGCTTTTTGGTGAGGCAATTGGGGTTAAGTGACTTGTCCAGGGTCACATAGGCAAGGCCTATTTCTTGATCTTGGTCCTTCTGTCATCTGGCACACGGGCCAGTGATCCATAACTGCTTGTTAAATTAAATCAAACGGTGAGAACACAGCCTTGAAATGGCAGAGCTTCACCTTGGGTAAAAGGTGTGCTCCAGGACCCCTGCCTGGCAGGGCTGGGGCGGAAGAAAGAGGGCCCCTCTGGGAGGTCGGAAGACTGTAATGCCCCAGACCTCGAGCCGTCCTGAGGGGCAGCCTGGGGAGTGCCTCGGGCCACAGAGCCGGGAAGGAGCAGAGTCTGGATTCCAAATCCAGAGTGGGCTGCACTGTTTCTCCGGAACCTCCTAGGCCACTGGGTGGCCTAGAGAAGAGAACGTTGGTTCTGGAGTCAGAAAGGCAGAGTTCAAATCCAGCCTCAAACACTTACTAGCTGTGTAGCTCTGGGCAAGTCATACCTCACAAACCCAATGTCTCCCTTGGTTTCCTTATCTGTAAGATGAGAATAGTAGTAGGACCTACCTCCCGGAGTTACTGTGAGGATGAAATGAGATAATATTTATTAATTTTTTTGCCAACCCTAAAGTGCTATATAAATGTTAATTTTGTTGTTATTATATAGTCTCTTCACACTCTCATAAAGCAGGATTTATAGGCTCTGCCGGACTCTAACCTTTGCCATTAACTAACTGTGTAAATCTCAGCCTTTCTCGATCTCTTTCCCTACCTGTCAAATGACAGAGTTGGATGAGATGGCCTGTGAAATAATTTCTAGATGTGTATTTTTGATGCTGTGATATCCATGCTCTCAGGGATAAGAGCCTTGGCCCAGCACCCACTGAAGCCCAGAGGAACCTTTCCCAAATGGAGAAGAGTCCATCGACTTGTTTAGAAAACTGAATCTTAAATACAAATGCAAATCTTTGGTGGTCTCCCCCTCACTGCAGCCCCTTCCTCTGGCCCTGCCTCCTCATCTCTCAGGGCAACTGTGCCCTCCCAAAGTGAAAGGCACAGAAACCATCTGTGCTGGGCTAATTGCAGACTCAATTGGCCACTTAGTCATTGGGAAGGAGGGGGCAAGTGGCTAATAGCCCCTCAAATTGGCCAATTAATGACACGTGCAGTTTCTGCACCTGCAATTCTTTCCGGCAAAGGAAAAAAAAAAAAAAAAACTAGGCTAGAGGCACAAAGAAAGGCAGCCAGAGAGCAGGAGTACCCCACCCTCCATGCAGTCACCAGGCAGTTGTCTCCATCTCTGAAATACTAGTGACCAGGACTTTTTCTGAATATTTGGCAGTGACACTTGACCCCCAGCATCAGCCTCATGGTCCATGAATTAGACACAGAGCACAAACCCACAGTGGGTGGGCCTAGACTGAGTGGGATCAGTGCTGAAAGGGAAAATGTGGAAATCATCTATACTACCCTCCTCTCTTTATAGTGGGAGAAACTGAGGCCCAGAGAGGGGAGCAGACTTGCTGTAGGTCATGGTCAGTGGTGGAGCTGGGACCTCAGCCTCCTGACATTCAGTGCCAGATTTTTCTCACCACATGAGTAGTGAAGCCTTTGTAGTCTTTTGCTAGATGGAGAGGACATGGACATAAGCTAAAGTGAAGAAACAGGAATAAAGCTAAGTGGGGCAGGTAAAGGGCCATAGAGACAGTGGAGAGGCTGGTCTACCTGGGGAAATACAGAGAGGAGGAAGAGGATGGTAAGGCTGGACTATGGAGAGGCCTTGAATGCCAGGCTGAGAAATTTAGATTTATCCCATTGAAATCTTGTTTGTATAAAATGGTTTAGTGCCTTTTTTTTTTTTTTTGGTGAAGCAATTGGGGTTAAGTGACTTGCCCAGAGTCACACAGCTAGTAAGTGTTATGTTCCTGAGGCTGGATTTGAACTCGAGTCCTCCTGAATCCAGGGCTGTTCTCTAACCACTGCGCCACCTAGCTGCCCCTGGTTTAGTGCTTCTTCAGCAGGTGTTGTCTTTGCCTTTGTTTCCTCAGTGCTTAGCACAATGGCTGGCACATAGTAGGTGCTTAGTAAATGCTTGTCGACTCAATGAGTGCATTGTATAGTGGGAAGAACATGGATTTACAGTCAGAGGCCCTGGGCCCACATGCCAACTCTCCTGCCTTTTACCTTTGATAATGCATTTTCCTTCTCTGAGATCCCGATTTTCTTGTTTGTAAAATGAGAGTTTGGGCGAGGTAAGGGGTTCTTAACCTGAAGCTTATGGTGGGGGTTTGTGGATAGACTTCCAGGGGTCCTTGAAATTGGATGGAAAAAATACATCTTTATTTCAATATGATTGATTTCCTTTGTAATTCTATGTATTTTATTATGTGCACTTAAAAACATCATTCCAACAAGGGGTTCCAGAGCTTCACCAGATGACAAGCAGGGCCCATGACACAAGAAAGATGAAGATCCCCTGGAAGGATGATCTCTAAGGGCCTTTGATCTTAGGATATGGGTGTGGAATTGAAAGGGAATGAAACTAATCCTAGGCCTGCCAGGTTCATCCCAGAAAAAGCCTGCTGGCAGTGGAAAACACCGACATGGATGTTGATGAAGACTCAGTGTCTCCATGAGTAGAGCATTAGCTTTGAGGTCAGCAGACCTAGATCCCAGTTCTGCCACTTACTAGCTGTGTGACCCTGGGTAAGTCACTTCCCTTCTGGGCCTCATTTTCTTCATTTGTAAAATGAAAAGGCTTGGACTAGAAGATCTATTAAGGTCACTTGAATCTCTTTGATCCCAGCAGGAAGTTTGAAGATGAGTTTCATGGCATGTAGAGGATAAAATAACAGGGGTAGCCTGGAAGTGGAGAGACCAATGGTGCCTGGCCTCCTTCCAGCCACAGAGGGTATGCTTTTAAGCAAGTTCAGCATCTTGGCTAAAACTCAGCCTTGTGAGACCAGTGTAGGCAGACTGGTAAACAGGGGCCCCTGAAACAAGAAAGCCCTTTGGGGCCCCTTGTGTTTTCCTTGGCCTCAGTGAAGCCTTCCCTGGGAGCCTGGGCTGGAGCTGATCCCCTGCCTCCTAAATGCTGAGATCTTTGTCAGTCAGTCGGCAGATCTGCGAGGTCCTGAGTGAGCTTTGTACTGCACAGCTCAGACTTCAGAAGCAAAGAACCTGAGAAATAGTAATATCACAGAACAGAAACTGACCAGGCCAAGAGGGAGCTTATTGATTATAGAGTCTGACCCTGTCATTTTACAGTGTAGACCAGAGAGGGGAAATAACTTACCCAAGGTCACATAGCATAACAACAATAACAACAACAATAATATAGCTAACATTTATGTAGTGGTATGGTGGCTTAATTATATTTTCTGGCTTGATCTGCACAATGAGGCTGGGAAGTAGGTGCTATTATTATTCTCATTTTACAAATGAGGTAACTGAGGCAAACAGAGGTTAAGTGACTTGCCCAGGGTCACACAGCTAGGAGGTATGTTTGTGACAGGATTTGAACTTAAATCTTCCTGACTCCAGGTCACATTCTCTCCACTGTGCCAGCTAGATACTATTAAGTGTTATTATAACTCTTGCCATCCTTGTTACTGTCATCTGTCGACTGCCTGGTCACTCTCCTAACTTACTTGACTCCAGCTTTGTTTGTTTTCCCTGCCAAGAAAGATGATCTTTGGACTGGAAGGAACAGAAAAAAAATGGCCTACAGGTTGTTGAAACCCAAGATAAGTAAGGTGATAATAAGAGAGCACCTGCCTGCACGGATGAGCTCAAGTCACCAGCTGTATGTGAAGTGTGGGCATCCCAGGCTATTAGAAGAACCAGGGGAGGGGATCTTAGCAAGACTGGAGAGGACAAGAGAGATGCTGCGAGATTGGAAAGTGGCCAAATATGGTCCTGAGAGTCAAGAAAAGCAAAGCAAGGAGAGCCTAAAAACCATAGTCCAGTGACCTTGAATTCAATCCCTACCCAATTCTAGAATGCATGATCAAAGGAGCAGCTAATGAGAATGTAGAAAAGGGATGAATGATTACAAAGAACCAACATGGCTTCCTTATCAAGTCATGCCAGACTAACTCCACTTGTGTTGTCGCAGGCATTCTGCCTAGCTTTCAGACTTTGAATAAGTCCATCATGCTGCCCTGGTGGACAAACCAGAGACACAGGGGCTGGATGGGGGCGAAGCTAAAGGGATTCGAAACTGCTTGAATTGCTGGGCTCCAAGAATGGTCATTGATGGTTCCTGTCAACTTGGGAGGAAGTATGTAGTAGAGTTCTTCAGGAATCTGTATTTAACCTTCTGCCGTTCAGCAGGTTACCAGTGACTTGAATAAATGCAGAAATAGGATGCTTAGCAATGAGCAGATGATACAAAGAGAGACTGCCAACAGGTTGGGTGACAGAGTCAGCTTCTAAAAAGGCCTGGAAAGACTAGAACCTTCAAAAGATTCTCAGAAGATGGAATTTAATAGGGATGGATTAAAATCTATTGGTGTTTAAAAGATCAACTTACTGAACTTGTCAAATATAAGATGGGTAAGGTGTGATTATTCATTTGAAGAGATTTGAGGATTTTAGTAGACTCCAACCTCAGTGTGGGTCACTAGATTAGTGTGATACATCAGCCAAAAACCAAACAACCTAATGTGCTCTTGGACTTCCCACATTGCTTTGGAGCCCAAGAAACTCACTCACTGGCAGAGGGTCCCGAATGGCTTATTGGCAGAGGCTGTGTGGGCATAGGGATGTCTCTGAGGTAGGATCTTTTGAAAGAAGTGCTAGGGCACTTAAGAAAGAGAAGAGGGGAAGGTAGACATGGAGGAAAGCAATGGTTTCTGATTGGAGGATTTCCTCCAAGCCATGCCATGCTATCCCATGAACTGCTGGATTTTTAAGACATTGAGATTCTTCCTGCCCTCCTGCATTTCAGTGCTGGACCTTGGACTCTTCCATCTCCCAGGAAGCCCTGGGAGACGTCAGCCCTTCTGCACAGGGATCACATGCTGCAACATCTTGCAGACTCATGGCTCTATCAGGAAAGAGACAAGGTGACCCCACCATGAAAACAGAACCCCTTTTGTGGTCGTCCTGTTGGCAAGTTGTTACTCACCATTTCCTCCTTCCTTTGGCTGAAAGTGGATGAATGCAAAGGGCCCAGAGGACTGGCTGGATTCTGACCTTTTGTCCCTGGGGCTTAGGAGGTGACAGTCTGGGCCATTGGTGTGTGTGGGGGGGTGTGTGTGTGGGGGGTGTGTGTGTGTGTGTGTGGTTTCTATTCATGTAGTTTCCTTCATTGCTATTTTAAATAAATTGTCCCTTTTTATCACTTTTATGTAGGTCATATGATTAATACTGGATGGTCATAAGGGAAGAGCTTGAGAGAGGGAAAGAAGTTGGGGTTCAAGAAAAAATAATTGAATTGATGGCAAACAAAGTTTTAAAAGCCTAAAACTAGCTTGAGAGGTTAGGATGGGGAGGGCTAGCTATAATGGAATAGTGTTCAGGTCAAGAGAAGCAAGCAAGAGTCCCTTTGGGTTCAGTTCTGAGAACCACATTTTAGGAAGGGCTTTTATAATCTGGGGACCGGGTTCAGGAGAAGGATGACCAGGATGGGGAAGGGCCTTGAGACCAGGTTACAAGAACAGGGGAGGAGATTTAGCTGAGAGAATGCAAGACTCAGGGGTCACAGGATCATTGCCTTCAACTATCTGGAGGGTTGTCACATGGATAAAAGATTTGATTTGGTCTGCTTAGAGAAATAGGTGGAAGCTGTAGAAAGGTAGATTAGGTTTGATATCTATTCAAAACAAAACCTTAGAGTTGGACAGGACCTTGATGTCCCTCTAGTACAGGCCTGCACAGTCTACAGCCCTCAGGCCACTTGCAGCATGCCAAAGGATTTTGGTTGGCCCTCAAAATCCTTTGGTGGGCTGCAGTTTGTACAGGCCTGCTCTGGTACAACACATGCCCAAGAGGAATTCCCACTCTAAAATGGTCATGTAGGCCCTGCCTGAAGATAGTCTATGAAGAGCAGCCCACTGCCTCCCAAGGCAGCCCATTCCACTGGGGGACAGCTCGAGTTCCTGACACCAGGCCTAAAGTGGCACCTGCATCATCCACCCATTGTGCATACTGCCTCTGGGTCCAAGATGAACAAGTCGAATCCTCCAAAGGACCTCTGTTCACATACTTGATCTGGGTGCTCCCCTCATCTCCCAGCCCCAAACTTCTCAAGACTAAACATCTCCACTTCCTCCTACTGATGCTCACGTTACTTCCTAAGAGAACGATCTCAAAGTAGGCCATCTCATGAGGTGGGGGGTTCCAGTCTGCAAGGAATGGCTGGATGATCACTTACTTGTTGACATCGTGGCCAAAAATCTACTCCACAAGTTGGACTAGATGCCTTCGGAAGTATTTTCCAACTCTGACATTCTGTGATTTGGTAATTTTAACACTTGGATTATAATAATATTCCTCTCTACCTCATCCCTAGCCAACATTTTAAAAAATTAATTCCCCAAATTCTCCTTCAGTTTCAGAGGATTAGGTGTCCCTTCTCTTTACCCCTCTACTGGTGCCCTCAACCCCATCCCCCTCTCGTCCCCTCTGGAAAGTTGTCTCCTGTAACATTTCCTCTCCTTGTCCACTCGCTCATCCTCTGCTGCCATCAGACGTGCACAGATCTCTCCTGGTTTGTTGTTGGTTTTTTAAGGGATATTTACATCAAAGATATAGCAAGAATAAACACACACACATTTCTCCTGACACCTGGAGACCCCATCCCCACTCTGCCACCTCTGCCTTTGGGGAGGGCTGAGTTTGACTCAGTTTCTACACAGCATTAATGCTGTGATGCACTACCAAGTTCAAGTCAAGGCTCCTCAGGATGCTTATATCTCATGCTCCCTAGGCAAATCAGACACCTCACTCCCTGCACTTAGATTGGAAAAGAGTGAACAAAAAGGTCAAAGACCTAGGCCCATTGGAAGCCCCATGGCCTAAAGAGGAGGCCTTTAAGCCCTCTCCCCTTACCATATGGTTTGAGTAAAGCCCTCTACCCTCAGATGAAATCCAGCAAATCCCACCCTCCCCATGTCTCCTATTGATAAAAAACAAAACAAAAAAACAACTTTCACTTGGTCTTGGGCTTACCATCCCTCAAGCTATACTGCTACAGCTTTCCTTCATTTCATTACCAAACTCCTAGAAAAGAATCTCCACGCTGCTTGCTTCTGCTTTCTCACCTCCCATTCACTTCTCAACCCCTTTCTGGTTTTTGTCCCCACTGTTGTTCAGTCATTCAATGGTGTCCGACTCTTTGTGACCCTGAATGGATTAAGGCAAGCAGAGATTAAGTGACTTGCCCAGGGTCACACAGCTAGTAAATTTCTGAGGTTGGATTTGAACTCGGGTCTTCCTGATTCCAGGCCCAGCGCTGTCTCCACTGAGTCGCCTAGCTGCCTCCATCCCTGCTCCTTGACTGAAATCATCTTCTTCAAGGTCACCCATGATCTCTTCATTGCTACACCCTGTGACTGTTCTCAGGTCCGGTCTTCCTTGACCTCTCTGTTGCATTTGACACTGTTGACCGGGCTCCATTTCCGGATGCAGGCACTCTCCTCTGTGCAGCTTCACGGCACTGCTCTGTTACGGTTATCTTCCTATGCGTCAGCTGATGCTTCTCACAGATCCTTCTGGTGAGTCACTGTGGTGTAGAGATAGAGGGCTGGCCTCCGACCCAGGATGAGCTGGCTTCAGATGCTGCCTGCCAACCAGCACACGCTCTCTGTGGGCCAAGTGGGCACGTCCCCTGGTTCTCATGGGCCAGGCACGTCGGACCAGAAGGTACGAAGGAGTTTCCAAATCATGAGTTAGTAATCATGTTGCGGTTTCAGACCAAAATCTATACGTACAGTATGTGTATGCATGCACACACACACCATATTGTTTTTGTTGTCGCTATTCGATTGTCCAGTCACTTCCAACTCTTTGTGACCCCGTGGAGCATAGCATGCCAGTACTGTGCATGGGATATTCTTGGCCAAGATACTGGAGTGGTTTGCCCTTTCCCTCTCCAGCTCATTTTACAGTATGAGGAAGCAATTGGGGTTAAAAGATTTGCCCAGGGTCACACAGCCAGTAAGTTTCTGAGGCTGGATTTGAACTCGGGTTCAACTTACACATACAATGTGACTCAGTTTTGTGACTTTTCTCCAGCCATTCCTGATCCCCTTTGCAGTATTATGCATGTCCCGCATCCTGGAGCTCAGATATATCCCAGAGAATTGTCCTGGGCCCTGGCAGCTAGCTGATGGATGGTGCAGTGGATAAAGGGCTGGGCCCCAAGTCAGGAAGACTTGAGTTTAAATCACAGCTGCCTCAAACACTTACTGTCTGTGTGACCCTGGGCAAGTCACTTAACCTCTGTTTGCCTTGGTTTCCTCAACTTTAAAATGAGAATAATAACAGTACCTACCTCCTAGGGTTTTTGGGAGATCACATGAGATAATATTTGTAAAGTGCTTAGCATGGGAGCCTGACACTCAACAAACATTTATTAAGTGCTTACTATGTGCCTGACTCAGAGTAAGCACTATATAAAGGCTTGTTCCCTTTCCTTTTCGCTTTCCTCTCCCTCTCCCCTCTTCCCCCGCCCCCACTAAGCACTGCTGAAGAAAGTCACAAAATTGAGTTGATATTCACTATATACTTCCATACATGTGTCTATGTATGTTCATACACATGTATTGTAATTTCATTGGTGTAGGAACCTCACAGTTTGTAAACTCCCTTCACTTATGTAGATCAGCAACTGTCCTGTAACTTGTAATCTCAGAGATGAGGCCGGGGCATGAGAATTTAGGGGACTTGCCCTTGTGACATAGATCTAGCCTATCCAGGCTCTGAGGCCAGCTCTCTATGCCATATTGTCCATTACATATGTTAACATGTGCTATAATTTTAGGTATGTAACCCAAATGGGTTGTTACTATTGAACTCATCTACTCTATTCTTAGCAACTATTTTAATTTCTTAGGAGATAAGAGGGATCCACTAGAGATTTTTGAACAAGAGAGTGATATGACCTCATCTTTGTCCTAGCTGTGACTTGAAGGATGGACCAGAGAGGGGAGAGAGTGGAGTTGGGTTACTCCAGTGGTCCAGGTAAGTGCAAATGAGGACCTGTACTAGAGGAAGGGATGAAAGATATTTCAGAGATAGAGTTGAGAAGTGAGGGAAATGGACAAGTCAGAGAGAACCCCAGAGTTTTGAACATGGGAAAAGAGGTGAATGGTGGTATCAGTGACAGAAACACTGAAGTCAGAAGGAGAAACAGGTCTTCTAGGTAAGATATCAACGTCGTGATCATCCAGGGTCCCAGGTACAGGTTCACATCATACCTAACAACCTTTCTCTTCCAGCAAGTCACACAGTGACCAGTGGCAAGGCTTTCTTCACCCAGCTTTGACTTCTTGGGCAGGTCCATTTAACCCCTCTGAGCCTCAGTTTCCTCATCTATACAATGGGAATAATAGTCCTTGTACCATTTGCCTCATAGGGTGGTAGTGACCTTTTTAAAGTGTAAATCACCGTATAAATGGGAGTAGAGTTGTGTATGGGTTTTTTTTTTTTTAAGACAGTTGAGCCTGTACCAGCCATAACTTTTCTTCTTCTTAATAATAATAATAATAATAATGATAGTAATTCGTGCCTATGTACCTTAAGGTTTGCAAAGTGTTCTCCTTATAACATTCCTGTGCTTCGGGGATAAAGCGTAAACTCCCCTCTTTGGATTTTAAAGCCCTTTACAGCTTGGCTACAACCTATCTTCCCAGTCACATTTATAAAATTCCTCCCATGCCCTAATGGCCAGCTAAACTGGCATTCTCTCTGTTTCTCTCACACTGTCCTCCACCTCCCATCTCCCATCTCTGTGTCTTTAAAATAAAAAAACATTTAATTTTTTTTCAATTAACCAATTATCTATTTTTTCTTCCTTCCTCCTCCGCAACAAACAAACAAAACTCTTGTGACAAATATGCAGTCAAGCAAAGCAAATTCCTGAATTGACTGTGTCCAAAAATGTGTGCCTCATTGAGTCATCACCTCTCTGGCAGGAGGTGGGTAGCATGGAACATTGTGATCCTCTGGAAGCATGGCTGATTATTGAAATACTCAGAATTCTTAAGTCTTTTGAAGTTGTTTATCTTTTGTTGTGGTGGTCCTTGTATAAATTGCTTTCTTGGTTCTGTTTACTTGACTGTACCAGTTAATACAAGTCTTCTAAGGTTTCTCTGAAACTATCCCTTTCGTTATTTCTCACAGCATAAGATTATTCTTAGACACCACAAAATGGGTTGCTTTTATCATCTTTGTACATATGCATCTTATTGTTCTTTTTTTAAAAAAATCTGTTTAGGGTATTGGCCTATTACTAGTATCACTGGATCACTTTCTGAGCATGATTCCAAACTGCTTTCCAGAATGGCTGTAATAATTTACAGCTATACCACGTAGCCTGTTTTCCTCCAGCCCCTCCAACATTTGTCATTTTTCTTTTTTGTCAACCTTGCCAATCTTGTTGGAATGAGATGTAGCATCAGAATTGTTGTGATTTGCGTATGTATGATTATTAGTGATTTGGAGAATTTTTTTCCCATCGCTATTGATAGCTTGGATTTTCTTCCTTAGAAAACTGTTTATTTATATCCTTTGATCTAATTAGAGAATAGGCCTTATTCATATAAATTTCAGTCGGTTCTTTATGTATCTTGGAAATGAGATCCTTATCAAAAAGAACTTGCGGTGAATATCCCCCTCCCACCCAGTTACCTGCTTTCCTTTTAATTTTGGTTGTATTTAGTTGTTTGTATAAAACCTTTTTTAATTTCATGGAAGCTAAATTGTTCATTTCATCTGTGATTGTCTTCATCTCTTTTTTTTAGTCATGGGTTCTTCTCCCACCCATAGATCCCCAAAATGATTTCTTCTTTGCTCTTCTAATTTGTTTATGATCTAAGTCATGTATCCGTTTTGAATTTATCTTGGCATATGATGTGAGATGCTGGTTCATATCTAATTTCTGAAGTTTCTCCAGTAGTTCTTACTGAATAGTGAGGTATTAGGTTTGACACAGGCCCATCACCTTGCCTTTCAATTGGCTGGACTCCCATGCCTTTATCATTTCAACCTCCTAGAACTCTTCTCTTTCTCCAAAATACAATCCAAGCACCATGTTCTGTATGAAGCCTTCTTTGCCCCACCCCGCAACTGCTAGTGCCCTCCCTCTCGTGCGACTTTGTATTGATTTGTTTGGTATTTATTCTGTACAAATATCTGTTTACATGTTATCTTGCTTGATAGACTGTAAACTCCTTGAAGGCAGGGACTGTTTCTTTTTTTGTATTTATGTCCTTAGCATCAAGCACAGTGCCTGGCACATAATAGGCGCCTAAGAAAAGCTTGTCTGTTAATTGCAAGGACTACTATTTGCATTTTACAAGAGTAAAGGTAAAGAAACGGAGGTGTAAAGAGCCAAAGTGACCTGCCTATGGCCGCACAGCCAGTCAGTGCTAGAGTCAAAATTGAACCTCCGGCTCCAGAGCAACTGTCTCTTTGTTTCTGAAGGGAACCCACTTATCAGAAGGCAGCAGCTGGACACTGAGGCCAAGAAGAAAAACATGCTGGATGAAAAGTCATCCTTCATCAAGGATGGCTTCTCAATGTGTTGTTGATAAGACCAGGGTTTTTCTGGAATCTCTTCAGGGGCTCAAGGAGCCTCCCTTGCTGTAATTGGGGAAACTGACTTGACCACCAGTGGGAAGCGCGGTCATGATAGGAGTTTCTGGTGGTTGATGAGACTGTTGAAAATGGAGAACTGACCAGTAAGGATTTTCCAGCAGGTTCCCAGAACTCTCTGGGCAAGAATGTTTTAGAGTCAGAAGGCCTGAGTTTGAATTGTGGCTTTGCCACTTACTATATGTGTGACCTTGAATAAATCATTTCCCTAACCTAGGGATGGGGAACTTGCAGGCTTGAGGCCTTCTAGGTCCTTGGGTGTGGCCTTTTGAACGAGTCCAAGTTTTACAGAACAAATCCTTTTATTAAAGGAATTTGTTCTGTGTAATTTGGATTCAGTCAAAGGGCTGCACTTGAGGACCTGGAGGGCCACATGTAGTCTCCAGGCCACAGGTTCCCCACTTCTGCCTCTTTCTTTCTTTATAAAATGAGAAGGCTGGGCTAAATGATCTCGGAGATCTCTTCTAGCACTAGCATCTTTTGACCATACAAAGGAGGATACTCAGATACAAATGCCTGGTACTGAGGATATAAAGAAAAATTTGAAATTGCAAAGAACTGGAACCTGTGTGATCTTCAAAAAGTCACTTAGGCTCCTTGGGCCTCAGTTTCCTTCTCTGCAAAATCAGGAGATTGGACTCCATAATCAGCACATCTCCTGCAGGAACCACAGGAGAATAGATTCAGAGCTTGAAGGGCCAATAGAGGTGATGTAGTTCAACCTTCTCCTTTTGCAGATGAAGAGAATGAGACCTAGCAACAACATTAAGTAAGTTTCCTCAGACTACCCAGGCAATAAGTGGAAGAACTGGGATTTGAACCCGTGTCCTCTTGGATCCAAATCCAGCATTCTCTCCAGTCCCTAAGATTGTGTGGCATAGTAGAAAGGGTTGGACTTGGAATAAAGAAAGAAGTGAGTTTGAATTCTGCCTCTGACATTTACTGGCAGGCAATAAGTTGGCATAGTGGATTGTGTTGGATTTGGAGTCAGGAAGACCCAAGCTGAGATCAATCTAGCCTCAGACACTTGGTAACTGTGTGACCCTGGGCAAGTCACTTAACCTCCCTTATCCTCAGTTTCCCCATCTGTAAATTAGAGATACTAATAATAGCACCTACCTTCCAGCGCTGTTGTGAGGATCAGATGAAATAACCTACAGAGTGCAAACCTTAAAGTGCTACCTAAATGTTGGCTATTGTCATCATCATTATTATTATCGATAGTAGTAGTAGTAACTGTTACTGTAGGCAAGCCATTAAAACTCTGAATATTCTGATCCCGTCATGATTAGTTAGCTTTGAAACATTCAGTGTCCAAAAGTTGGCAAATGGCGCCAAGATCTACTGACTGAAGATGGTGCCACCATTATTGCATCTCTCTTTGCACAGCTCACGCCTTCCACCAGGCTTTGGCTCACTTGGAAGTTTTGTACTTTGAACACAGACACACATAACAACCACAAAGCAAGACATCAATAGGACTGAGGCCACATGGAATGCACTAGCAAGGAACATGTTCACATTGTCAGTCTGGAAGCCCTGGATTTGGACCTCTGAGTTCAAATATCGCAACTTACCTCTTATTATCAGTGGGATGATAATAAGAGGTAAGTTGCCTTCTTCTAACTAGATGACCCTCTGGTCCCTAGTCCCAGCAGCTTGAAAGCTAAGATTTCCTGGTCCTGGAGCACATAACACCCCCTTGCCATTACACAGTCTGTTTCCTGCTGTTGCCCCTTTTGTAACTGCCATCTGCTGTTGCTTCTGCTACCTGGGCATTCCCATGACCTCATTCTTGGTGAAGCCTCTTTGCCTCCCAAATCAGTGATACAACATGGAGCCCTTCTTCTTTTCTGCCCTCCTGGTTCTTCTTTTCCATTCTTCCTTTTGCTTTTCCTTCTTCAATATTCCTGCTTAGATACCTTCTGCCATATGCCTTTGCCCCACAGAACTCTGGGTAATGTAGTTTCCTGTGTTTGCCATCTCTGCTACAATGGCATTCTAGTGTAATGGGATCCCATGGTGCCCTTAAGTGAGGAGTGTAAGGAGATTGGGAAAGACTTGAATGAGGTTATAAGACACTGAGAAAACACAACCAGAAGAACAGTGTACACACTATGTGAAAGACAGACAGTGTAGACCTAACAGATATTGAGCTTCCAAATCCTGGGTGCTTTCCACAATTCCATGGAAGGAGGGAAGCGAATAGGCAATGACTAAAAGTTTGTGGAATGAATGAGTGAAAAAGTAAAAGAAAGAGGTGGAGGTAAAGGAAGAGAGAAAAGGGAATGTGGGTCAAAGGAATGGAAGAGAAGGAGAGGAAGGGAGACGGGAGGGTGGTGTAATGGAAGGAGGAAGCCTTGAAT